ACAGCAGAACAAAGAACGGTATTGGTGGCAAAGCATATTCAAGCTTTTTTCCATAAATTAATCGCAGCCTGTTGGATGTCTGCTTGGATAATAAGGCCAAAAATAAAGCCTGTCTTGGAAAAACAATGCAATTCACTTATTATTTCCACCTAAATTATTCAGCTCTCTGGTCAATGGTGGGCCAAAGGGAATTGTGGGAGGTGTTTTTTTTTTTAAGTTATGCAGCACAGTGCTTGGTATTAAAGCGTTCTGTACAGTTTGAAAACAATAAACACACAACACCAAAACAGTGTGATCTCGCTTTTCCCCCAATGAACATAGCACACCTTAAATAAAAAACAGAAACAAGAACAAGCCACTTTCAGGTGAGGAAGACAGAGAGAAGGATGAGACTGTCATCACAAAACAGCACAGCGAAAAGGATTTACAAACAACCCAGATCACAGACTCAGAAATAGAAGACATATGACTCCAACTATTGGTATGCAGATCACATCAAACAAAAGCCAACTGGAGGAGAGAGAGAGTCCAGAATAGAGTCTGAGATCTCCTGGCAAATCCACACATAAATAAAAACAGCTCGAGACAGAAAGAGTAAAGTGGACAGGAGGAAGAAATATGATACAACAAGAAGCACATTTCCTACCTTTTGTCCATTTGCTGGTTCTCAAAGCACACCACAGCACAGCGAAGCACATAAGCCACAACTCCAGAGTGATGGCCACTAGAATACCTGGGCTCTCAAGAGCCAGACAGTTCAGAGGAAAATGGCACTGGGCATTGGCATGGAAACCTCAGGACTGTGGGTCATTCAATCTCAATGGCTAACTCTAGCTCCCAGTCAACATAACATTGGGACTGGCTTATTCTAAAGATGATGATGACAATAACAATGTGATAGATGTGTTTCAGCATAGTTATTAACAAGCCTGATCTCACAAGAAAAAAAAAGTATTTTTTTCTGTCAGAAAAGTGGTTAATTTGTACAAATTCATAGGATTTTATTTGCTTGACAACATATAAAAGGAGTTTATGTTGAAACCATGGTATTGGTGATCTATGAAATGCAAGTCAATGGCTACAAGCACTTTGAGAGGCAAAAAAAAAAAAAAGATTCTTGACAAGTCTTATAAAGTAAAACCAACAATCTGTGCAAAAAATAAAAACTGAACGTTAATATATTTCATCCATAGCCAAAGCAAAGGGTCAGAAGTGCAATCAGTGTGCTCACAAACGGAATCTTTCTATATTCTGTAGGTTGCAGCATTCAGGAAGAGCACAAATAAATGCCTGTTGACAAAAATAAATAAATAAAAAATCCAGCAAACATGGCTTTAACCAGCAGATGCTCTCAGCATGTGATTGTGAGCAACAGTGAATCTAGTGCAAGCAATCTAATCTAGACAGTGTAGCTGACTAAAAACAACTATATATATATATATATATATATATATATATATATATATATATATATATATATATATATATATTAACAAGCAAGCAAGCTTTTTTCTTTAAACTGCAACTTCAAAGGAGGCAAGACAGGCACTTGACACCTGAGGTACATTTACATTTTATGTTGTACTGCTTTGCTAGCCTGGCGTAATGATCTAATTTCTGTTAATTCTTACCATTATTCATTCTAAAGGTACAAGCATTTGTTCTCTTTAAAGGCTGTTTGAAAAAGGGGTGGTAGTAAGGTTTGTTTCAATGTCATCTGCTGCTTTAAATGTGAGAGCCCTTATATATTTAGATTCAGATTGGCTTTATTATTTAAACATGATGATAGACAGGGCAACTTTTAGAGCAATGTTGTCAAGCTTTGAGGCTTGACTAAATTTTTTTATTGAAAATGGGCTAAAACAAAACTGTAGGTGAAACTGTTATATATACATTTCTTTTTTAAATCCTTCAATCAGAATGCTAGCCGTGAATCAAGTGACCAGATTGGAGTAAGAAAAAGTACCATGAACTCTTTAATAACTATAAACTAGAAATCCTTTAATGCTTATAGTGCCAACAGTTGTCAAATTTTAAGGTGCTGTAAGCGATTTAACACATCCTTGTACAGTTGAAGTCAGAATTATTAAACCCCTTTGAGTTTTTTTTTTCACTTTTAAATATTTCCCAAATCATGTGTAATTGAGTGAGTACGTTTTCACAGTATTTCCGATAATATATTTTCTTCTGGGTAAAGTCTTATTTGTTTTATTTCGGATAGAATAAAAGTAGTTTTTAAAACAGTTTAATGTCAAAATTATTAGCCCCCTTAAGGTATATATTTTTCGATAGTCTACAGAACAAACCATCTTTACACAGCTTGCCCTAACCTGCCTAGTTAACCTTGATAACCTAGTTAAGCCTTTAAATTGCCCTTTAAGCAGACTACTAGTGTCTTGCAAAAATATCTAGAAAAATATTATTTACTGTCATCATGGCAAAGATATAAGAAATCAGTTATTAGAAATGAGTTATTAAAACTATCATGTTTAGAAATGTGTTGAAAAAAAACCTCCTCTCCGTTAAAGAGAAATGTCAGGGAAAAAAATAAAGAGGGGGGCAAATAATTCAGGAGGCTAATAATTCTGACTTCAACTGTATATTATACAGTATATATATTATATGTATGTACAGTACAGTACAGTATGTATATTATATTATATGTTTGTTTCATGCTTCCTTGTCGTTCATTCTTTATATTAGCTTTATTATTATAATTTGTTAAGCATTATTTTGCCTCCGTTATGATAAACAGATCTTCACTCAAGCTGTTCAAGAAGGTTTAACCTTACAATCAGGACTTGGAACAAAATGCTAACATAATAATCTGATAACAATATATTTTATATTTTGTAGGCGGAGAAAAAAATTCTCACTCCAAGCTTAAACCAAAAGTTGGCAGCCCTGTAGTATCATCACATTATCAGCTAAAAATAATATCTTTTTCGCTATGTTGTTATTGTAGCAGTGGTTGCTATCATTATAGTTATTGTCTTTGGTGTGAACAGGCCTCAAGCACCATTTTGATGAACCATTCAAACATGTGTTCTCCCGCTCTGTTGTAAACAAGTGGTGTGTGTGCCTACACAAAAGTCATTGAATGCAATCAGGGGTGTTAGCTGGGGCTATGGATGAAATTCAGTGAATTTGTAAATTATGTATAGTTTCTTGGGCGACATGATGGCTCAGTGGTTAGCACTGTGACCACACAGCAAATAGGTTGCTGGTTCAAATCCTGGCTGGACCAGATGGCATTTCTGTGTGGAGTTCTCATGTTCTCTCTGTGTTCGTGTGGGTTTCCTCCGAGTGCTCCGGTTTCCTCCACAGTCCAAAGACATGCGCTAAAGGTTGAATAAGCTTAATTGGCCGTAGTGTTTAAGTGTGAATGGAGTTGCGGCTGGAAGGGCATCCGCCGTGTAAAACATGCTGGATAAGTTGTGGGTTCATTCCACTGTGGAGAACCCTTATGAATAAAGGGACCAAGCCAAAGGAAAATGAATGAATGTTCAGTTTCTTGCACAGACTGATCGTTTCACTTTCATGTTAGGAGTGTTTTCCCCCCAAAGTTGTGGTAGCCATTGACGTCTGTTCTTTATTGTTGTTTTGGAAAAAAAAAAAATGACACATCTTTAATGGCCTGAATAGGAGTAAAATAAAACTTCAATTAAAATTCGCATCACTCATTCTGCACATCCTAAAACTGTGAATTGACCTTTGGAATGATGGGTGACATGAGTGTAGAACTAGGTACCAGGAACTGAAAACATGTGCACTGTTAACATCAGAATAAATATAACAGACCGAAGAGCATAAAAAGAACACCCAACAAAATATTTGTCATCCTGAACCATCGCTAAATGATAAATGACACTAATTAGAAATGAATGATGGTCCAAAATGGTCTCAGTTGACAGGAATATCCATGCTAGCTTGCCATGCTGATGCAGGCCAGTGCCATTCTGTGTTGATTAGATACAGGTCTGTTTGACAAGATGAGATTAGCACGGGCACACCGAGCAGTTCACTTGCCATAGACAGGCTGTGATGCACATGGACGTATAAGATGACAGTGGAACAAACATCGAGAGTACCAGGATGAGAGAGAGAGCTGAATCTGAATTTATCGCCCGTGGTTTCATACAGATATATAGCAGAGATAGAGTTCGAGATGCATGCTGTGCCCAAAGCCCCGAAGGGAATGATAATAAGAAAAAAAAAAGCTCTCGGGAAGGAGAGAAAAGACACCCCCCTCCCCTTTTAAATCCAAGGTGCTCATTTTGCCAGGCTTTAATTCCAATCGTGATTCTGTAATTTCGCACGATACTAAGGCGCAGAGCTTTCTATAAAGGAGCGGATTAGCGGCGAGCTGATGTCAGCGCAAGAAGAGAACAGCAGTATCAAACGCTGACCTGTTTTCAGCTGATAAGCCGCACACACTTCGTGCTACCCGACTCATTTAATTTGAGGCTGCGACATTCAGAATTAATTAACACTCTTGTGCCGAGCGCCAGACTCAACTGTGTACCGCATATTTGTAAAAACAACAAGTTTAAAAGATCTGCGGGACCCCCATGCTGCGGTAGTACTTACATAAGCAGGCCACATTATGCACCGCCAATAAACGTTTAATACCACGTATAAAGCGTCTCTCTAGTTTTCACCCACCCCTATGCATGTTCTTCCCATATGTCATTGGCTGAATGGTGGTGGAACAGGATGAAATGTTCTCATGTTAAGTGGCAGGCATGAAATATGCAGAGCTTAGCGTGGGCACGTGCTGCACACCGTCCAAGTTGGGTTTTATATGCCGATGCTCCGAGCAAATTGACAAGACTTTCTCTGCCAAGCAGTTCAGAAACACACACAAATAATGCTTTATGTGATCGAATAATATGTCAGATCGGGTCTTGGAATAGAAAACGGTCTTTTGTAGTTAACAGACATGGCAGGTTGCAGGTTATATGCACTGCATTGAGGGAAACAACGCAAAACCAAACAAAGGCTATTGATGTTTCACTTTTATTTGAATGTATGTTCATGTTTTGTGTGTGTGTGTGTGGAAAATATTTGGCACATAAAAAAGCATTGAGGATGTATTGAGCAAATCACACAGGAATGTCAAGAACACAAACACTAAGCTAAAAGTACTCTGAATCAGTTCATGCACAAAGCTGCTATGCACAAACACAAAACCCCCTTTTTTTCTTGAATTTTTTCGTTATCTACAATACTGACCACATAGAATTCATAACATTTAAGAACATTTGACACATATTATTTGCTTATATTATTTTAAGACACTTAAAAAAATATCAAAGCCCTATGTTGAACTGCTTGTTGTATATAACTATTTGGCAGAAATGACAAATGCACAACATTTTTTTTCCCTTTTTCATCTCTTTCAGTTTTCTAATCCCGCAGTATATATCTGGAAACCCTCTTGCACAAGAAGCCATTTTAAAGAGGTTCTCCCTTCTCTGAAATCCCATGATGAAGATATGATATGAAGCCCCAGTGGTTTCCAATAAAAGCCACTGGCCGCTAGTCAGCACGGATAACCGCTCAAGGAACTGTGATGTCTGAGAGGATCTGACCCGTTTCTGTGGATGTGTGGCTCTTGTGGCCTTTCCAGTTCCATTTAGTGATACAGTATCTGTTCCACACAAGGACTTTGCTGCTGTTAGTGCTGACATGAACAGTGCTGTCGTATCCCGAGCCGTCAGAATGCTAAATTAGGGCTCTGCACTGACCAGCCCCCCTGTTGGACCCATTAACACGAAGTCAGATAGCTTCATCCGACCCCTATTGTTGCTTATGAGCAATGTTTACACGCTTAAAATGCTTTATGTTACTAGTTTAATTCTAATGTTTCATCGTCTTTATATCCTGTTCAGCTTTGAGGCGCGATATTAAGTTCCACACAAACTCACGTACCGACACTAGGCCGGTCTCTGTTGACAAGCTTCAAGATGGAATCATTCAGGCGAAGTAAAGCTACATCAACGCGTCCCAACTAGACTAATTTGCTCATACATGAGCTCCTGAAAGAAATTCAGGGTATAATTTGAGATATTACCCTTGGGTAACTACTCATCTCTTTGTCATCATAAACCCCCAAGAATGTTTAAAAGTGGTTTCTATTCCTATCTAAGATAGAGGTCAGTAATATACGGCTGATGGGCTTTTAAAGGTTACTAGCTACAGTGCAAGCTTAATTCTGAAATTAGCACTCGTTCTCTCATCCTATTTCAATCGGTAATTGTCTCTAGCAGGAGGTAGTTGATATTTAATATGCCTGTCAAATACCTTTCGATAAAATCCGTCTGACCTTTAAGCAGAAGTCAAGGAAGAGGAACCATCACAGGAGTCATGCTTTCCATACATGGGTGAATGTTTGCAGATGGTGTGAGATGATCAGGCAAAAAAAAAAAAAGAAAGAAAGGCAGATCACTACCACAATCAGGCACATCCATTAAGCTCTATTGGCCTGTACATACACGCAAACAGGCACCCTAATTCATTCAGATTTACTCATGCTTTAAATGAAGAGAAAAAATTCGGTTAGATTCTGTACTAAAGATTAAAACAAGCCTCGAGTTCACTATAGAGCTAACTAACTAACATATCGGACAAAACAAAATCATCATGCAAAAACCTTTCCAGGTTTGCATTCTTTTGGAAACAAGCAAAATGGTTTGATGATAAAATCAGCAAAAAATATCACTGCCGCAGGCTGGATAAGGAGAGCGAGGCTAGCCATTTTGCATCTCATATATGTGATTCATGCACCTTTAGTGCAAATGGCTAAATCTCAACACCGACAATCCCAAGAAAGACAAATCCGAAGGTAGTCTAGAAGAGAGCTATGCAATACACACCACATTCAGGAAAGCCGTAGGAGAACAAATAGTATAAAGACAGCCAAAGTGCGAGAAGGTCTAAAGATTCAAACGTTCCTCCAGCATGAATACATTCAATGGGATGTCGTGAAAGCCACAGCGATCTTTAGGCTAATCTACGAATATCGAAACTCAGCATGCATACGTATATTGATGATTTAGTTTTGGTGCATGGCTGTTTATATACATACACGTGCCCCAGTGTATGGTACATAAACATGAGGTTTGATGAAGAGGGCAGGGGAGGGTTGATGGAGGGTTGGGTTAGTTTTAGGGGGTCGCCCTTAACTCTGGGCTTCCATGGCAGGGAATTCAGGGTTTATGAAGGAAAAGCCCTCGAATTCGTCTTGGTCGAGGTTCATGATGACCTCCTGGTCTGGAGGGGTGAGAACCGGTGGATGGCGGGTGAAAAAGCGGTCAAAGTTCTCTGCATCCCGGCCACACTGCAGGAGGGAGAGAAGAACAAGAGAGGCATGTAATGGATGTGGGATGATGAACATGGTCATAAAGACAGAAAGTAAAACACAGAACAAATAAAAGGATGGGAATGAATGTGGATGAGGATTACTCAACAGCAGTTGTAGACATTTAGCCTGTTGAATTGACCAGCATATTTCATCAATTCTTTATAAAATTGTTTATAACTTCTTTATTACAATGAAAAAATATATATATAAACCAGATTAAAACCCATGCATTCACTATCTGCAATTATATGGAACAAAATCAATGCCAAAAGTATTGAAATAAAAAGGCTGTCTAATAGCACTAACTGAAAAAAATAATACATTAAATTAACTGCTTGCATTTTAGCGACTTGAATTGCCAGGGTTTGTAATTTTAGGTCCTGAAATTAAACATAGTTGTTTATTTAAGCTATGAATATTTCAATTCAAAACACAATTTCAAACCTAAATTCAATACTTCATATTCAACTTCCAGATTTCACTTCCAAAATATTTAGTTCAGTTTAAAAAGCACAAAGTATAATATTCAAAAGGCAATATTCAATTAATTTTATTTCAGTTAAAAAATGTGCTTTCATAAATTTGGCTGTTAAAATTCGACATTACATCCGGGAGCTGCAGGAAAAGCAATATATTGCAGATTGCAGATTCGATAGATTGCAGATTGCTTTTCACCAGCAGGTGGAGATGGACCAATTTAAGGTTTTTAAAAAAGTAAATAGGTGAGGAAAAAAAGAATTTTTGAAAGCGAATTTTTGAACTGAAATAAAATGAACTAAAAATTTAAACATTATACTTTCTAATATATATACATTTAGGAAGTGAAACCTGGAAGTTGAATATGAAGTATTGAACTTAAGTATGAAATTGTGTTTTGAATTGAAATATTCACAGCTTAAATAAACAATTTCATGACCTAAAATTACAAACCCTGGCAATTCAAGTCACTAAAATGCAAGCAGTTATTTTAATGTGTTCTTAATTTAAGTTAGTGCTATTCAACAAGCTTTTTATTTTAATACTTTGGCATTGATTTTGTTCCATACATTCACAAACAACTTTTTAAGGGAAAGTTCACCCAAAAATGAAAATGTACTCACTATTTACTAAACCTTAAGTGGTTCCAAACATTTATGAGTTTCTTTCTTCAGTTGAACACTAATGAGGACATATAGTAAAGCCAAAAACCTGTAACCACTGACTTCCAGGGTGGGAAAAACAAATAATATAATGTTTAAGGTTTGCAGCTTTCTTCTAAATGCCTTCTTTTGCGTTTAAAAGAAGAAAGAAACTCATAAAAGCTTGAAAGAAGTTGAGGGTGAGCAAATGATGACAGAATTTTCATCTTTCATGCATTAATTGCTTGATATAAATTTCATTATATAAGTGGCTTTGGAATATAGGTCGCATCTCTTTCACTTTGATAATAAAATGTGACTTCTATTCCAGAAAATAGTTTTGATATCTGATATCTTTGATAGCGGAGGGAAAGATTATCAGTGAATAAATGACTTCAGTCTGTTCATCCAGTCATCATTCGGCATCAAAAGCCATTTAAAATATAGTGATTGACTTCTATGAATCGTATTTGGTGGCTGTATACATTTTTATGGTGCTTCTGAATGCTTTTCAGTGCATTACTAATTGTAAATTATTATTTAAAACACCTTCCACTGCAATTTGAAAGTGAACTGATTTGATGAAGCACCAGTTTGATTTGGCACGTGAATTCATACAAGTCAAAGTTGAAAAAGCCTGGAGCTGGTCTTTCCACTAGGAGTATTGGTGAATATGAATGGATGGAGGTGCGTGTGAGACCTTTACACTCATACAGATACATAAATATGTTCCAGATGTCGTGTTAGGGTGTCATTCGTGATGCGTATGAGAACCAACAACAACAACAGCAAGAGTGAAAACAATAACAGCAGCATTAATGTCACCGCAAACACATACGCTTCAGTTCAAATGTCAGCTTTTGAAATTCCAATGTTCTACTGCACTTCCAGTGACATTTAAATAGCTCACTCATCATAAGCGTAAGAAACAGGTGAGTCCAACGCAAGCGAATCTGTAAATGAGAATGAAATTCCTCGCGCCGTTCACAAATGCAGAGCCCATTTCACGGAGAGCATCGATCAGTTGCAGTCCGAAACTCACCTTTTAAAGCCCAGTCATGTAATATTCATGAACGGGGCTCAGAAGCAAAGTCAAACCATCAGAAACCTGGCCAAATCTCTAGCTCTGGCTCATGATGAGGTACCTGTGTCTCTGCAGCCGCTTCATTGGCAAATAATCAGGAGCAGCCACATTGAAAGAGAAGGAAAAAAACCTGGCAAGTGGTGAAAATTAGAGCTGAGGAGCTGCTCATGGTATGCAAATCAATCCATATTATGACTCTATATTGTGTTCTATACAGTATTACTGTACTAGGGCTGGGCAATATGACAAAATATATCACAATATAAGTCATCTCATAACCTGATAACTATATATATATATATATATATATATATATATATATATATATAGTAATAGATATATAGATATCATCACAATATAGTACCTTTTCTGTAATATTATATATTAGATTTATAGTTTATTTATGTTGACCACACGTAAACGACTTCTCTTCTTTATATTTTAAAGTATATACTCAGAAATGTACCAATTCATATGTGATCATATTTCCCAAATTAATGTTTGATAAATCTTTTTTTAGAAACGTATAACAATTATTCATAAAATATAAAACACTTTTCAAAAACTAATGATTACAGGTCCGACTTAATATAAATATGCTGAATAAACTGCAATATTTTCACAAAGCTGGTTTTAAGGTTTCTGTCTGGATCCCTGTAATATTTTACTTTTATACGCTTGTTAAGTCATTTAATATCGGCGACGTATGGAATACTGTTTCCGGCATCACACACGCACACACACATCTAAAAAAAAAAAAAAAAATATATATATATATATATATATATATATATATATATACACACACACACACACACAGTATATATATATATATATATATATATATATATATATACATACATACACACACACACACACACACACACACACACACACACAGTATATATATATATATATATATATATATATATATATATATATATATATATACACACACACACACATATATATATTGCAATCGAAAGTATTCCATCACTTTGTAAACTTTTTTTTTTAACCATTTAATAAGTCTCCTCATACAGTTTGATAATAGAGCACTTGGACCCGGATGCCGCTTTGCGTGACATCACACTTAACAAGCAGATAAGCTCATTTATACAACAGTCCTGTCTGGTTCTCGAATCTGATTGGCTGATAGCCGTGCAATATTCTGCCAGTAGCAGCAGTCAACCAGCCTCTTCACCCTTCACCCTTGCATTACTCCGCCCACATACAGCAACAAGCAGAGGACACTCTACATTTTGACAAATATTGCTGCTGTTGGGCAACAATGTACTTTTAAGGCTTTTTTTAGTCAAGCATGTAGTTGGTTTTATTGCAAGGATAGTGCCCATTTTAAAATATTTAGAATTTCTGAGAGACAGCACATCGGTGGCCATTAGCCTGTCATTGAGTAGACCAAAGAATGTTGATGTTTTCCATCCACAAGCACTTAGAGGAGGAATAACAACGTAATTTTAAATTACAGCTGATTAAATCATTATAAAACTGGTAGTTGACTTTCTAAGTCAACCTCTCTGTTTTTTATGTTGTAGTGCTGTATTTATATCCTATAATTGTAGTGTTTTGAGTGTGAGATGGGATTCGCATATAAGGAATGTGTGTGGTATTGGCAGAAAGAAAGAAGAAATGCCCGCATGTGTTTAGTGTTTTTCCTTATTGCGCTGCTTTTTTCAAGCTTAATTATTGTGATATTGCAACAGAAATACAGTAGACTGTGATAGACTGTAATACTATAGGGAGATATCTCTGTAGACTGATGGCATTTCATGTCATGTTTAGCCTCATAATCTCAAAATGTGAGCAAAATCACCTGTTTTGACATCACTTTAGACATTACGCTAGAGAATCATTAAAATACTGAATCTAAAGTGATGTTGATGAGTTAGTACCTGCATATACACAATTATGCCATCAAAATGTTGTATAAAAGCAATATCACACTAGTAGCAGTGCGATGCGGCTGTATATCGTCACTGTTGGGACACTAAAGCACTGCAACTCGTGTGATATTGCTTATTTAACTGATATAGATATTACCATAAGCAATGTATTTTTTGACACCATAAAGATTACGCTTAATATAAAACGTTAGACTATTTATTTAGTCCATATGATATTCGTCAATTTGCAAAGCCCTTGTGAGGAGTCAACATTAACCCTAGATCAGGTAAATGTATGGATCATATATTTTACATAGACCCACTGCACAGGATGAAATGAAAAGCATTCATGAGAGCAGGAGTTCGTCTTTCCACCAATCAGCAAGAAGACCTTGCTGAAGTCTATAAGGAGCTTTGCTTGTAATGAGCACAATGGGTGGGCAATCAACTTTGGGTTCATTCACAACAGCTCCATTAAAATCAAAGCTATTTCTATACGTGCACCGTTTTTATGTAAAAACCTGGTTACAATATGTGACCCTGGACCACATCAGTCTTATGTTGCACAGCTATATTTTTTTGCAATAGCAAATTTACTTTTATGCCAAAAGTCATTAGAAATTTATTGAAAGATCATGTTCCGAGGAGACATTATGTAAATGTCACTGCTGTAAATACATTAATACTTTTTATTAATAAAATACATAGTTAAGAACTTAATTCGGACAACTTCAAAGACAATTTTGTTATGATTAAGATTTTTTAAACCCTCAGAATCCCACATCAGTATAATTTACTGTATAAAAGTCTTTATCTTTTAGTTTTTTTTTCAGTTTATTACTATTATTCATGTTTCTATGTACAGTATAT